ACCCGAATGAGCATTTTTTATTAACTTAAAGTAAGGTAACATGCTGCACCGATCTCACTTGCCCCTGCACGCATATGACAGGCAGGCTCATGCAATGCTTGTCGAGCTGGGTTTTTTGGTCCGGCAAACAAAAACACAAATTTTGTCCGCCGATGGTTTGTTTACTATGCGGAATGATAAATGGGGCTCCTGATATCACCTTTGTTTTGTAGTGACAACAGTCTCATTTAATGGAGACCACAAAACATTCACGTGAAGATGGAGCTGTAGCGCTGCATCCATCCATCTGCCTAAATGAACGCATATTTGCAGTGGATGTAGACATTAAACGCGTTTGAAGGACAAAACGGTTTCTCATCGAAATTATCCATTCTTCTTGCGATACCGATGAATGAAAGGCTACTTCAATTGATATTACCTAAGTAAAGCAGTTAGAAGTGTTTAATTCTTCAGTACACAAACTTAATCTGAATATTTTGTTTACTTTTGTTTGTTTAGTTAGCTCCCTAGTTTCAAAAATTGAAACTCCTGGGGAGTAGAATGCATCTTCAACTGTGTATTCACTGCCTTGATTTGTAGATGTATCAAGCGTTAGGTCAAAATGTAAAGCTGTTTACAAGGAGTACTAGCTTATGGGGTAGTCAGAGTTTGCGTTTGCCCATCCACATCTCTACTGTGGCATTAATAACAATGACGGAAATGTAAGTTTCTTCAGCTATTTTTTCCAATTCTTGAAAGTTCTGTATAATCTCTCCTAAATAAGCTTTGCGCACGATCCAAAGTGATACATGTTAGCAATTGAGTGAATATTCGGCCACATAATGTTCTCTTAAGTGTATAGAGAGTGGGAAGGAGTCAGTAGTTATTTAAAACAAATAAACCCACACCTCTTATGCCTTTTGTGTTTATTTAACTTTTAGCAGTATGCTATATCTCACAACAGTTTTCTCCTTAATGGGAAAAATCACAAGCCCCATTCATAGGCTCGAACTTATAGGTAGCGCGTCATACGAGCTGGACTGTGCATAGAGGAAAAGGTAGGGCAGAGGTTACCATAATGCTTTGATTATTTTTAAGCTCTTTATTTTGGTCTCGCTGGTACTAAAAGCTCCACTAATGTACTTCCGTCGGGTGGTGTGGCCTTTGGATTATGTCATTGGCTCCACAGCCCTTGTGTACGTCAGTAATACGCATTATGCCTCGGTACTATGTAGTCTTTTGACTTCGGGGAAGACTCAAGGCTTTACATTGGTGGAAGCTACCCTGATTTCTATGGGTAAATAATAAAAACTCCAGCGTAACGGAGGAAAGGCATGTACTGCGGATGGAACAATCTGTGACGACTCCTAAGAGAAGGGTTGGAAATGGGGCCCACCTTTGGCATCTACCTACTTCTGTGTTCTGCGAAAATTCTATCAAAATCGAAGAGGCACTAGCCATCTACTCTGGCTGCATAACGATACTACTTAAGTGGCCATGCGATACCTCCTTCACCCCTCTGTTAGCTAGATGGAATCCAGATGGATATGGCTGGACAGGACTGAAATAAGAATAAAATGGCAATCAGGTACATTCTTGAGAACGTTATTCTCATGAAAATACCTAAGTCTCGACTCTGCTGCTAACCATTATTCCAACAGATTGCTAGGAGAGGTCAGTGAAGTTGTAATCAGCTATCTTCTCAGTCAAAAACAATTTTGATGGCTGACAGTAATGGCCGACAGGGGTGGTTGATTAAGAAGGGACTCCGGTGACAGCCCTCAAAATGAGAGGGAGTATATGCACTGCTTTGATTTCTTGTTTAACTCTTCGTTTTGTCTTCGTGGGCACTTAAGCCTCGGCGATTGTATCTCTGCCGGGCGGCATGGCCTCCGATCCACGCAGGTAGCTCCTCAGTCTTTTTGCACGTCGTTTTTCCTCTTCAGGAAAGACTGGGGACGCTCTGGTTGCATATTATTACTTGTACACCAGCAAAAAAAATTTGTTGTTTGTTAACTTACTTATGGGTAGCCCACTCCTGACAGTTCGAATACAAATATATTTTTAAATCTAACTGCGTTGTCTAGCCCTGTGTGTGAAACGAAACGTTGTAGAAATTCAGTTAAACAACCTAATTTTGTTCATAAATTTTGGAACAAAAGAAATCTTACTGGAACTCACCCGCTTAAATATGCAATAAATTGTGGGAGGCGGAACAGAGGCTACACGGAAATGCATTTCATTTTCTGATTTCCGTATCATTACATGAAATGATAATTAGTAAATGCAGAAATCCAGTTCTTTGCAAGTTCTCCTCTGATTTTTCGTGAAGGTGTACTGAAAAATGGGAGTTATTTTACTTTTTAGCCCTTCACTCATGACTATAAGCAGTAAGTGGGGCTGGTATACCTTCACCTGAGTGATCTCATTCATTTAGACTGTCCATGGCAAACAAAAACTAAAGGGAATAAACTGCAAATTTGTCCATTCATTAATGAAAATACAGAAAGCAGACGATTACTGCCTTGCATTTGTTATCAAAAGAAGGAGGTTTTTATAATTTTTTCTCAAGAAATCATAAGATATATGTTCCCGAAATAAATGTTTTGCAAATAAACGGAGGGGTTTCAAGCTGTTGGCAGAAGTGACGCGAATAGAACACGAAGCCATCAAGATGGTGACCGGACCCTGCAGAAACCGAAGAGTTCGTGTTAGAAATACCGCTTAGAGTAGTGACATTCTATTCAAATATTTTGCTTTAAATGTTATTGAATGAATAATTAAACCACATGCCCATTCGTATGTCTATGTATTGTACCTATGTAAAACGTCATACTTTACGTATTTGCTTTGACTTTTTGCCAAGAATACTAATTTTAATTCTGTAATCTTAAGGGTATAGCCTAATGTTTTGCACTTGGGCACGTTTCTGCGGTTCTAAACAAACTTATTTAAATATCTAATTTGGGGTCTGCAATAATTTTGAAATCATCTGAAGGATAGAAAAACCTCCAAGGGGAAATGGATTGCTGATTATTCCAGCAATTATTGTTGTTATCTACCTAAGGTGACAGCTAATCTTACTAATGCGCCTTCTATTATTTGATTAGGCCGTAGTTTGATTGATGGGAAGTAATAAATTTTTAGGCTTCTTCGACACATTACCGATAGTAGTCAAAAATAACCTGTCACATCTTGGAGAATAAAGAGAAACTCAAAAATGGCTTCTAAGCTTGGGCTTAGTGATGAAATCATGTCCGGTGACACGATAATACCAATGACAATTTTCCAGTAATTTTAAAAGCTGAACTACCCAATAATTGTATAAATTTTCAGAGAGCCGTAGATATTAGATAAATTCTGATCAGAAAACAGCACCAAATAAATTCCATTTCTTAAAAACACCTTTAAGATGTTCCAGTTTGGACATTTTTACGAGTAATAGGTAAAAAGCTCTTAATGTTCCATAGCGACTCAAGACCTACTTGAAAATGAGAGAAGTCATAATGCTAAGACATAATTTGAATTGCTGGCATACGGAAAAGCTGAGGAGCCACAGGCATGGTCCAGTGGCCATACTGCCCAGCGGAAACACAATGCTCAAGTCTTCGTTACCCAATCAACCAAAACGTACGGTGGAATTAACAATTAATGCATTACCCAGTACTTTTCCTCTTTTGAGCGTCGTACCCAGCTCTCCGCTTGAACAATCTCCAGCTTCGGCAATCACAATGTAGCCGACAGCCCTCCCATTTGCGTGCAGCTGCAACCGTATAGAAATTACTTTATAGACCCTATTCAAAGAATTGGGTCACAGCATTGATTTTATCAGTTTAAGAAATTAGATTTATAAATCAGTAATTTGGCACCCAAGGAATTCATACATAAGGTGGACCATGTCGATACTAGAAACCTACCTTGGTGGAACTATCGCGGGGAGTTTTTAATGCGTATAGAGCCTACGCAATCAATTAATTCTCAAGTAGGTTTTTTCCTTAGGAAGCCACAACTGTCAGGTGTTCTCAAATCTGCCATGCAGTGCTGTCTAATACAAGGGGGAGTTCAAGGTGTTGGCTTTGCCTCAAGAGTATCCACCCATCGTTTTTTTGCCTGGCTTGACATCATTAATTTCGAATAACATCAATCAGAAGTTGGTGGTTTGTGGGCTCTGTTGTGTTTAAAATGCTTTCCCTATGTGCGTGTATTTGTAGTTCTCAGTCTCCATAATGGAAATTTTCCCTATTTGAGATGAAATAATGATATATTACCTTACGGAAGACATTTAAATTAAGATGCTACTTTAAGAGCTACAGGTAACCTTACCTTTTACCTCCAAGACCTTTTGTTACAGAGGGGACAACACTAACCTTACATTGTCCTTAGCAGTGCCAGAGCCCAAGAGGAAATTTCAACTACAACTACCATAAAGTGGTAAGGGATACATGTTACACCCCTTGTAACTTCAGACTCAGCTAAGAGGTCTGAAGCATCACATGATTTGACGTCGGTGGTTTTGTATAAATTTCAGGTTACATCAAATAGTATTTGATGAGGTGGCACCATTATCATCATATTCTATTTCCAAAGAATGTAATTTATGTAAGAAATGCGTTATCGCGCGCACCTAGCCGCGCAAAATCCAGCTTGCAGAAAAAAAGCACATGAAAACAGTAAACTTAGACTTAAAAATGGTGGTAATATTTTCGTTGCGTCACCAGTGCTACCTCTAACATGAGTAACACTTCCGAAATGCATAGAAATCACTTCCATTAAAAGCGCCTAAAATTCACAGCTAAAATCCCAATTAAGGAGAGGTTAAGCATGAGAATTTGGTATGAAAAAGAATAAATTTGCACCCTTTCCAGATTGACAGTATTTTGTTGACGTAAATTTATGCAGACTTATGTCTCCTTGAATGCACGCCTTCAGCCCCGTAATCACTTGCTAATTGGTCGGTACGATGGACCAATCAGCAAATCGGAAAGACAGCGGAATACTTGAGACTCTTCATAGCCATGTATATGCATAAAGCACCGAGACCAGAAGTTCGCAGTTCAAAAATGCGTATCCCCCTTTCAAGCGTGCTTATCCTACTAGCTCCGACTGCTCTTGCAAGCATCTTCACCACGCAAGTCGGTAATGTGGTACTCAACCTTTCTGAGAGGAGCTCTTTAATGGGTACCGGGTGGAATATCAGTGGAATACGTGTGGACGCGTACTTGGGCATTCCGTTTGCCAAACCGCCTGTAGGAAATCTGCGATTCGCTCCGCCAGTAGAGGCTGATCTTTGGGAGGGTCAGCTCGATGCTACAAAGCTGCCCAACTCCTGTTGGCAATATCGTCCTGGCAACTTCGATGTAACCAATCCCGCGGCACGTATTTGGATTAACAATACAGAGATGAGTGAGGATTGCCTCTATCTAAACGTTTGGGTACCGTCACGCCTACAAGGGCATAACGCATCCCTTCCAGTAATGGTTTGGATATTTGGGGGAGGATTCTTTAGCGGAACCTCAACGCTGGACGTCTACGATGGAAGGTACCTCGCGGCCATGGAGAATGTGATCGTAGTATCCATGCAGTACCGGTTAGGTCCTTTCGGTTTCCTCTTTGTTGAGTCACAAATAGGGGGAAATATGGGATTACTGGATCAACAACTCGCACTTAAATGGGTCCGAAAGCATATCAGCGCCTTCACCGGTGACCCAGGGTTGGTGACATTATTCGGAGAGTCTGCTGGAGCAGTCAGTGTGGGTCTGCATTATCTAGCGCCAAGTTCCAGATCGCTTTTCCAGCGGATGATACTCCAAAGCTCCAGTCCGCTGAGTAGATGGGCTTTGTGGCAAAAACCCGTCGCTCACGAGGCGGGCATATCGGTACGTTGGCAGCTGGTTTTTAATTAGCTTTGCGGGGGAGCACCCCCACAAAATCCTTAATAAGTGGATTGACGTTTACATTTGTCAAAGTGACGAAATCTTGTGGATCCCTCCTTTTTGAGAAACTAATTAAAATAATGTAAATATGTTTCATGCTTTGGCGTAACACCTGTGTAGAAGTTCAATGGGATTTGGGAACTTCATGTTTTTCTACCTAGACCATTGACGCCTTTTTGTGTGAATCATATAGAGGACTTTTTTACAATTTTTTAATGACAGAACTTATTACAACCAAAATATTTGTTCATTGTTAAGTAAAGGACAAGTAAATTTTTTCTAGGATATTCGTGTGTTAGACATAAGAACAAGGTTAGTGAATGTTTTAAGGCTTCTTGTATTTTGACAACAACAATAGCACATATTGAAGACAAGTGAGACAGCTCTCCTTTTCATTTGATGGATCCGGAGGTATTTCTATCAACTGCTAATAGGAAATCGGAATAAAACCTTATTTAAACAGTAATTTGCCCATCTTCGCTTGAACTTCCATCACCCATTTGAAATAGGTGAACTTGTACCAAGGAGGCACTTTTAATGGCACAAACTATTATTGTTGATGCTTACAAAGTCCAACAGAGAGGGTCATGATGTTATTGTCAGAATGAAGTCTGTACGTACTACAATACAATCTTAGCATTATGTGGTACTCTCTAATACTCCAAACTCTCGATTTAACGACCCCATAGTGTTTCAGGTCTCTCTGTCCTTTTAAATCATGGGTACGAAAGGAACACTCAAGATGGGGATGAAACATTTTTATGAATTGTGTTGAAAAACGTTAAGTCGGTGCCATTATACTGCATAATTCAAAGCTAGATTTAGGGTAAAAGACCCTCTCTACCGTAAATCTTTCCCATAAGCTTTGATTGTGTGGGACGTTGGATGGTTTATGCCTATATCAGCTCTTATCTGGCCCCATCAACCCACCTACTTGCTTATTAGGCGAAATTCACCTAATTTGGGGATTTTGGTTTTTTAAAATGTGTATTGAAAAGTTAGCATCTAAATGGGATTCCAACAGAACACAGTCACTGCTTTTATCACTTAAAATGCTGAACACAACATGCACCAATAGTTTGCGTTTTCTCGGTCAAAAGATTTAAGGGGAGTCCTCAAAATACATGTTTCATTTTGCATAAAAACTCCAATTACCTAGAAAATGCTTTAGCTCACTTAAGGTCAATTTGACACATTAAAGTGTTGCAAAATGTAAGAAATTAGAACATTGTCATTTTTGTCTAACCCATACTAATGTTTTTGAATGTTGAAATTGTATGAGTTGTTTTAATGCACTGTTGCAATTAAACGTTTTACAACGAAGGTCTTTCCGTTCTTTGTTTGGAATGTTTCGGGAATTAATGGAAAATACGCTGGTGATAAATTCACAAAGGAATATGCTTTTATTGATTAAAAAAGATTTCGTTTGCAACAAAACCACTACTATCACAACAATGCTGTTACAAAGATTGTCAAAATATAAACGAATTCTCATAACTATCTCATTTACACTCTAGTCTTTCTATTCTTTTGGCATCAAGCCATTAGTACTAGCGCCATAGTAGAGTTAGTAAAGCAGAAAGATCTACTTAATAGTGGCACTTCCAGGTTCTTCATAGCGGCTTGTGGAGTTGATTGAATCCCATCACCACAGTTACCATGGTCGACGTTGTGCTTGCGTTGAAGAATGTACATGACTTCACATTCCAAAACACTGCTCTTCCTCCATTTCGTTAATGTTATACCTCACTAAACGACGGTATAAATACATTTCCCACGTGAATTCCACCAAAAACACTTGCAGGTGACATAATTTACGTGTGGAAAAATGGGTAAATCAACTTTTATTTCGAAGAATCTAAGGTCGAATAAGGTGTTTACTTGGGTAAAACGAAAGTATGACAGGGAATAGGCCTATAAAGACGGAGAGGGTGAACTTGTTTGGACAATTATAAGGATATTATTAAAGAGGCTGGCAATCAGGGAAAATTTTGAAAAAATTAACAGATTAGGGGATTTTGGACTCCATGAATCCATTTCCTTCCGGTAAAAAGCTGAAGCCACTTCTCAACTGGATAAGTGAAAGAAATGTTAATCGCGACACGTAAGGGATGAATTATCTCCTGCTTCGGAGGCTGTTCCACATAGAAAGATATCACGTCCTTAAAGGCAGTTGGATATAATATAGAAATATTAGTCTACGATTAAGGAGCATTGTAAAGTTAATAGGACTCTGTGGACGTCGTTCCGATTCCATCGTCATAGTGATTAACCTTTGAGACAAATTAGATCATTCACAGATATTTGTCAAAGTTTTTTGTACTAAGAGCCCATGCATAAAGAAATATTTCCAAGTTTTGCTATGTTTTTATGCTATGTAACTGTTTTAATGAAACTAACCACCTGTGCTAATCGTGTTATGCATAAAGGCATTAATAATTGTTCAGATTAACAAATCACTTAAATGTTGCTTCTTATCCCTTTATAAAACAATAGGAATTCACTTAAGAATACAAATAAGTAGTAACCATTCTGTCAGTTTCGAATTAATGATTGCGATATCATTAGTGACACTTTATAGAGCAAATGAAACATACTTTGTCCTGGTACAATGGCCATCTAGACGAGAATAAAGTGGCAAAATTTCGCGTTGGTTACAATTTTTTGGTACAGTAGAGCGATTTGAAACTGGATCACTACTCGTCCCTGATAAAATTATGATTCTCTCTTGAGTAACCCCATTTTCACCGAGGTTTCAAACTCGGCACTGGTAAAGGAACTGTATCTGCGCTGTCTAATAAGTTGGGATTAGGTTATCTTTATATTCAATTTAAATAATGGAGGCAAAACTCGAAATTTTGAAGGCTTTGATATTTTCCTCAATTGTGTTAACTTGATCTTGACATTAACCTTCATATATGATGTGCCAACTGTTAAATTATTTGTGCTAAAAAGGTATATCACCAGTTCTATATCTCGTAAGCTAGGACATCTTTCTCGTCTCTAAAATGCCTTCAAAAAATCTCAACGGCTTCCATCTGAGTTGGCTAGGCTCAAGAGCACGTGAATGAGACAAATGTGGCACCAATTTATCTGCACATTCCACTCCAAGGGTGGTGAGAGACACAACCATTATTACCTGGAATGTAGCATTTATCAGAGAGCGGTTTAATCAGGCACACATTCGCACAGTGAAAAACAACGCTCGCCTATAGCTTTAAATCTAATGACTATATTTTTATTATGCAATCTAATTTGGTCAAATCACAGATCTATTTAGCCTAAACCGTTGTAAATATTTACGAATAATTAGATTAACGAAATAGCTTTACTAATATTCTGCCATTTTTCCAGGAAAAAGTTCGTTTCTGTCGAACAAAGAAATCTCATGATCGCCCGTAATGTGCTCAATGGACTTAAACAAATGTAATACGTCGGCTGCAAGCCTTCCTCTCTCAAAGATAGATCAAGTTTAACTTTTTCATCAATCTACTAATGGAAAAGTAAAACAGAATTTTACGAGCTATGTGATAGTTGGTTGCATTTTTTAGGAGTAGTGGGGAAAATGCATTATGCTCGAGCAAAACGCGGTGAGTCAACACCGGGATGCGGAACATCATTAACTCTCCGGTATCCCAGATCTATCTGATGGGCAAACTCTGACTGAATATGAGAGTTAATTGCGCAACTCGTCTTCAGTCGTCCCCCCTACCCCCTTCCCTCCCAAATAAGTATTCAAGTGCAGGAATTTCTGCTTCTTGACAATGCACAATTTAAAGAGCATTCACAAGTTATTCTAAAAAAGGCAGTATTCTGTGAGTTTCAAGTAAATCTACTTGAATCTGTGAACTGCTGCTCTAATTCAAGAATCTGTGTTAATAGCTGTATTAAATGAACCAAATGAAGTGCTAATTTCCAGGACATTAAACGTCTAACCCAAGGACTATTTGATCAAGCTTGGACGGTTCCGTTTTTTGGGCGGAAAGGTATGGTCTATATCTTAAAAGGTACTGCACCATCTACCACTTCGTAATTGTAGGGAACACTACTTGCGAGTAGAAAGGTCGTTCCTGCTTGTGCCTATAAATTAAAACAAAAACCCATTTTTTCAAATTTGTTCCAACTACTAATACGGCTGCACACCCTGTTTAAATATCTGGCACCTAGCCTGTAAGAAACCTCCACAATTATCATAAACCTGATTCCCTTGCGATTTGTTTTATTTAACCAAATTTTAGGAGTTTCCTTTACACATACGACAGCTTAAAACAGTTTGTTATAATAGATTTTGCATAAGTTAGTAAAGATGTAAAAATTCCGACTGTTCTGACAGTTTATTTTCCAAATAATACAGTATTTAACTCTGGAACACGCCAGCGGATTTCCATTAAAAATTTTAGCAGATATTCAATGCTGCTTACCCGTTTGATAAGACCTCCATTAATATACTTTGAATTTCATAGAAAAGTACTGCTTTGATCAAAGCAAGCTACAACTGTTCAGTTTTACAATAAGGCATTGTTATAAAATGGATGTCACAGATATATCCGATATTTTTTGGGAAGGAAAACATGGTAGCAGTGCTATATAACCCCCACCCTGTCTTTATCAATAATTGAGAAATTTAAATAAACCTCTTTGTAGTTCATCAAAGCCAGTAACTGTGCAGATCGACTTCACGATTTGGGGAAAGAGGTCGCATGCCTCCGGCGACTCCCCGCAAGCAGTGTTTTTGATACGCTAAGTGAGCTCACCCTAGCGTCCACCAAACGACGCGCTAGTCGCCTGTCAACCATGTCCTCAAATCCTCAGTGGCCGGTGCCATTCCTTACCGACGCATCGCAATATTTCGACGTTTATATGCGACCTGTTCTGGACGGCAATTTCCTGCCTGACTGTCCTGGCACCATTCTCTCCTCTATCAGTTCATATGAAGCTCCTGACGTTCTAATCGGTAATGTAGCCAATGAAGGAATTTACTGGCTCCTTTACGGTCTGGGAATAACAGGAATAAATTTCCTTTACGAAAATGGAACCGTAACACAGCCGTCGTTGGAGGATTTAAGGAGGGCGAAGATTGACTATCTTCAATTGGTTCAAACCCGATTCATGAGCATTGGCCATTTACTTGAACCTTTCCCGGCAATTGCCACATTGCAGTATGGATTCAACAGCCCTAATATTCCCAAAGTGACGTCTTACAATACAGGTCTACAGTACAATTCCCTGACCTCGACATCGGCGTTTCTCGATCGTTTGGATGATTTGAGTGGCGAAGTAGACTTCATCTGTCCCACTTTGCTTTTTGCTAGGCTGTTGTCGAAAATCGGGGGGTCGAGCGTGCAGTTCTATAACTTCATACACAGGACTAGTGGATGTACGTTTCCTGAGTGGACCGGTGTGATGCACGGATATGAAATTGAATACGTCTTCGGGATGCCGTTTTCTCAAACCTTCACATCAAAGTACTATAATTTTACAAATCAGGAAGCTGAACTTAGTTTGCGAGTCATGAGATACTGGGCCAATTTCGCAAAAAATGGGTGAGTTAATTTGAAGTAACGGTTTGCATAAAATGTCATTGAGACTTCAGTCTCGACCGTTAAATCCTACGTCTTTTATGATAAAAAGTGCTGTTTAAAGTAGAACACGCAAATATTTGCTGAATTTTGTCAATCAAACTGCTAGACTCTTGTGAGTTTGCTCATAATGTATCACCCACATGCATGATTATCCAAAGTGAGAAATTTTATTCCAGCTTACCACTGGCACTTTAGCCCTAGCAGCAACATCATTCCGTCAGTTCAGGAGACGTCCAAGGTGTTGTGAGTCAGCGACTAAAATGGAACCTAGCTGTTTGTGAATCGCATTTTAGGTGTGATATGCTGCCAAATTAGTCCTGACAATTACTGGCTTTACTAATGTTGGGTAAAGTATGCTATCATCTTATTAGTTCCTCCGTCTCCTACCCTTGAATTCCAGAAGTTATGCACCGCTTGAAAAGACAAACTTTGGGAAATATTTACTACTTTTGTGAGGTGAGAAAACCACATCAGGTGAACCTGATACCACTGAATGATTCAGTGAGTGACATGAGTGACAGGTGAAACGGAAATGATTTGATTTTCCAAGTCAAATTACAGGCAGGCTGTTGTAATCGTCATAATAACTAGAAATAGGAGGGGGAAAATCCGGATAATCTTAGCATTCTAGTGATAAAATAAGGGTGTCTTTAAATTCTGTTTTCTCCCAGTAATTTTTAAACAAAGTTCATGGGAAATCGTTAGAGCATTGTCTAACAACCGAGGAAAACCTACATCACATACAGTTGCTGTCCTAGTTTTCAAAGTAAAATTCTTATTTCCCTAGCAGTTAGTTAGACTTTCTCTTGTTGCCTTGTTTGAATTATTTCTGACATGACAGAATTTCATTTCCGTTAGATGATCGAAGATGAGGTAATATGTTTGTACACACAACTTTTTTTGTTTTAAAAGTTAAAAGTCTTCGCAAGCTCGTTTAAAATTCGACTTGCAGATTCAGAAGAAATTGGATCGAAACCATGCTTGATTTTCATAAAGAGATTATTCTCAAAGATCAAAATTAACGCTTAAATTTGGACTCTAGATTAAGTGTAGGCGACTGCAATGTAGCATCCGGCCCGAGACTTCTCTGAAGTCGAAAGAAGACGCAACAGTCATCGTCCAACAGAAGTGCTGGAGACCAGTGGAAGTACAAACATCGAGAATCAAGTGCCCGCGAGACGAAAACGATGATTTGAAAACAATCGAAGTGCTATATGACATTACTTAGCCCCGCCTCCCTCCTCTTTTGAGCGGGGTCCTCGGCCCTCCCCTTAGGCATCCTCCTGCGTCGGTCACCACAACATTGACGATGAACTGTCGGTCATCAAATTTGCGTGCAACTGAGCAGATGTCTAACTGCAACGTCACTGATTCCACCTGATGATTCTACTGGATCCGTAACGAACTCTTTTAGATGGTTCACGGCCACGACTAGTGTTGCTCAAGTTGTTACCGGCATTACCGCATAACACGGGTTTGGATGGTTGCTAAATATCGGCGTCATTTATAACCCTTCCATTAGGAGCCTCCAAAAATTCTCTCACGCGCAGCGTATATCCTTCCTTCAACACGTTAAAGTTTGGCATTTAGGAATAAAAACTAGGGTAGGAATCCCTTAGGATCGGATTTGCTTCCCACTACTACCAATGTAACAACCGAATCTCCTCTGAAGGAGAAAGAAGTCATGATACTATGATAGGAGAGCTGGAGGGCTGTCAGCATCATTCGAAGGCCATGACGCCCAGCACAGATAAAGGCAGGGCCTTCAGTGTCCGCAAAAACAAGCCAAAGAATAAAAAATAATTAAAGTGTTGCATTAATCATCGTGTTAACTTGAAATGTGGAAGAAATCATGTACACTACCATTTTTTGAATGGAAATAAAAAAGAATTACTGACCAATCAGAATTCGTTGATAGCACTTAAAAGCGGAACTTCCTGTGTCTCTCGCTTTTACCAAGCATTTGATACAGGGAAAAATAGGTTAGGAAAATAATTTCACATAAGTTTTACTTCGCATAAACCGAAAAGATGTTGTTGCTTCTAGGGCAAGAACAATCTACATCTATTTTACCATTGTAAGCTTGGACAACCTACTTAAACTACGATTTGGCGCAACAAGTTATCATAAACTGACAAAAGGCGTACAACATATGTGTGACGCATTCCAAGTTCTCTTTTGGCTCTACGCGATTGAAGTCTCCCTCCGGTTGAATGACATTTTAATTTATAGTAAACAAGTATGCTGGGTGTTTATATCCATAAGAAATTTAGCAACTTTACTTCTCTGCATACATTCAGCAAAGCAACCACAGACCCGAAAGGAATCGAAGTTAATGAGAACTGGCCTGACTTCCGTGTGACCGACGAGAGCTACTTGGAAATCGGCCTAAACACATCGACGGTAAAGGAGTCGCCACACGACAAGGGGTGCACCTTCTGGAACGACATCTTTCCTAGTCTCCAGCGAATCTACCTGCAGCGCAGTGGCTACAAGAGCTATCCTCAATCTGGTTCATCCGCTGTCTGCCCCTATATGGAAGTTGACCTTTATCCAGTGGAGCGTCTTCGTGACTTCGTCACCGGTGGTAAGGCTCCTGTTCGATGTGTACCTAGATTCTTCAAAACTGATACGTACGAAGTGAGGTTGTAGCAGTTGCCAGGATTCGATACAGGTTCCTTTATCCAAGTATTTCTATTCAGAGCTTCGAGAGTAATTAACGCACATCCAAGCCCATCTAATAGGAGTTCACAGCGTTGACAATAAAGGAATGTTGTGACACCCAAAGAACCCGCACATTCAATAAGAAAATTTAAACAAATTCGGTTTAACTGAAGAAGAGCTGAGAAACTAGTGGTAGATGTGGTATAAACAAGAATTCATGTTACTAGTATAGGATAATAGAAAAGGTCAACCCACTAAAAGAAGATTGATGGATAGAAATTACAACTTTAGTTATCTGGGATGGTGACACCTACCTCCATTTTATTACTTTCGATGAAGTTGCCGAGGAGGGCTTCAAACTCTAAACCTAACTTACAACCCAACTTGGCCTAATAAGGCCAAAGTGGACATCTATTTTGTAGTGGTCTCAGTTCATGGCAGAAAATTTTGCCTAATTCCAGTTGATATCTGTTTGAATAATATTACGCTTGCCTTACGCTTGGACTTCCGATGAATCAGATCTTGGAGTATCGTGAAAAATGAATGCCTCAACAAAACATTCCCGTCTAATGGGAAGCCTTGTTGAACTTTTACTGTCAGACGTATACCTAATTTCCATTAGAAGCCATCTGAGGATTGTATTATTCCAGTAAAAGTGGTACTACAAAACAATGCGTCAATCGAGATTGTGTCATCTCATGTCTAGTTGCACTACACCATCAAGTGTCTTGTCTAGTTAGGCTATGGAACATACAGTAAATTAGTGAATACACAATTTATTGTTTACAGAAGGTGAGATATAGGCTCCACCTCTAAGATTATCAGTTAATGGCATCAAAGCTGAAGGTTAGAGGAATACCAGTGTCTGGAAAAGTAGATGTTGTGCAACCTAATCACGTAAGATGATAAGGGCCCGTGACATCGCATGACATGTGACTTCAAATTAGGTGATGACGCAATTAACACACGAAGCGAGGTATTTTATGGATAGAATGTTTTTAGCTAAAAAATTGCTTTCTTCTTGTTTCTATTAAGACCACTGTTTTGTTCCCTTTAGAATATCCGGATGGAAGTGAGCGCTTAATGCTGCCGTGGGTCATCGTGTTTGTGCTTCTGTGGATGCTGGTCTAGAGACGAAGTCAAACGGAGGAAAAATGTCCAAAAACGCCAAACGATCACTATGTTTAATTCCTTTCACCACTTCCTCCTCCTTCACTCAAACCCTAATATTCCAATAGGATTCCACGAATTATCATCACCAGTAGCTTGAGCTAATGTTGTCACCCTCTCCTCGTGACCTGTCAAGTGAACCTCTTCCTCGGGTCGGGAAACCCAGAAAAACGTTCCAAGAGTAGAAAAAGCAGTAAAAAAATATTATTCGGTCTTAATGTGATGCTAAATTTTGTTCTTTTGAGGACGAAGAGCTCTTTAAGGCACCTGGTCTGAGGTGATGACTTAGAAATAGGTGGTTGAATGCTTGTTTAGGTCTACTAATGTTCCCCGTGTTTTATGACTCTCATCTTTAAAGAGCTTCGGCCGAAATGTAGTATTTTGTAGTCATTTAGCTGTGATTGTGAAATATGCATCCAGACTATTGAACAGTCGTTTTCTCTTTGATAGTTTTCCTTTAACTGCACAGTTTCCAAATACATTTCCTTCCTTTATCACAAAAGACATTTACATCGAATCGGTAATTCCAAGTTTATTAATATTAAGAACACACTTCAAAGAGTTAAAAAGACAAGTTAGTTTTTAAAATAGTCTCTCGGCACATTACGCATATACATACCTGTTCCAGTGTTCAAGTAATACATAAGATGTTTCGAAATAGGGAGATTCGCTGGTACGACTGACACTTTGGGTTGCTGGATCAATCGAGTTTACGGAGCCATATGTGGAACGCTTACATCTAAACCACTTAAGTACCTTGCTGTAGCTATACTGCTGTACTCGGAATCCTTTGGAGATTCAAATGCCTGGGGGTTCCACACCTTCGGTCTTGTGATTCGTCAGCACAACACAATATTTCATGCATGCACCAAACATTCAACCTTAATGACGCCTAAATTAATCTAAACTAAAACACTTTCAATGGCTACTTTTATTTAGCAAAGCAGACAAGTCAATTACAACTGCATATAGCATTAAAATATTGACATGTACTTTTATTGTAAGGCAAAGTAATCAGGAGTCCCGGTTTGCCATTAACGCCCTTCTCGTTCTTTACTATTTTAAGGGATAAACCTTGCCTTATTACTTATGCTCTATTTTGTTTACCAAAGAATCTTGAGTTAAAGTAGTGAATTTCCTACCATATTCTCTAGCCTCACTTTTTGAATTTCCAAATTAAATATTCAATAGCCAGAAATGAAATGGGTGTAATAGTGGACATTTAAATTCCCACTAGTGGTTTTAAAATCCCCTTTTCGCACATCTGGTAACTTTATTTGGCAAAAAGGATGCCATTCTTTTTTATTTCTGTAGAAAAAAAAATTTAAAACAGGATTGTGTTCAATCTGTAATAAGATAAAAGAAAGTCTTTTCCACGATTTCTGCCCAAACAATAAATGTTGCTTCAATTGTTATTTCGTCCCGTCAAACAATAGCGGTGCGCCCTATTGCAGGAGGTGGAGTCACTTGCCAGGGTGGTTGATACACGCTTATGAAACCCACCAGAGATAGTTCTGAGGTAAAAATGACCGAATTTTTCAGCAACAACATTGGAATTTAATGCACATGAGAAGATGCTTGAACTCTGCGACGGACATTTTTACGAAGTAGATTAACTGGTGCATGACAATTTAATGCTTAATTAGAAATTCTACTTTATTCTATTTTTGAATCATAATCACAGCCTATTCATGTTCGCTATCTCCTTTATTTAACCTCATTTAAACCAAGTTTTCAGGTTTTAAATGGCAAAAGTGTGACAGGCGACTAGAAAATTCACTTTAACCAAGAAATTCATTTTTTTGTTGTTAACATACAGCTGTGGACCAAAAAGAGTTGAACTGACTAGCACAACTGGGTAAAAAGCAAATGAAGTGGCATTTCGAAGTGACTTCGGTCTTCAATGCTGTGTCGAAGACGGGAGTCATCCATGAAAGCACAAATGCCTCTTGGACTGCTGTTTTAAGTTTACACAATACATATCCAAAAATAAATATCTCGCATATCTGGAAATATTGTTACAACTTTGCCTAATGGTGTCTAAACACCTTGATGAAAGTGCTCCAATTGGTAAAAAGTCCCTTTTTGTACTTTTATTCAAGCCAAAATAATGTTGGCTGCATTTCCCTCAAAATGTATTTAACTAACGAGAAAAGTCGATGGTAATGACACCCTTTGAAACTCAGACTCCTGGACAGCAATGACTTAATCTTGGCGATTATTTGTAACGCTTAGTTATAGGGTAAGAGTGCCTAGCTGCATCGTCAAGTCCCTCTCCTTCAAATTAGTCTCGATAACTCACCTCAAGGGGGTCCCGTCAACTCAGACGGGTTTGAGTCTGTGCAGGAATCAAATGCTAGCGTAGCCCTTAAATCAGCCTTATACGTGAGAAGCAAGAGGATTTGTCCCGCCTAAACTATTTTCCATAAAGATAAACAACTTCTCAATTCGAGTACATTTAGTTTTTGACGGTCCTGACAGTCAACATGGATTACCGGCGTCATCCTGTTAATTCATTTCGCACGGGGTGTTCCACGGTTCCCAAACAAACCTATCTGATTTACGAGCCTAAGGATCGACATTAAAAGCTGATTTAATCATATCCAGCAGTGTATGCTCAAAGGAGTGGTAGTTGGTACTCTGGATATTCCCATAGCGTAAACATCGTGTGGGAAAAATGACACCTGGTGCTCCTGTTGATAAGAGAGACATCCCGCTCCGCCACCCAGGGGAGGTCGCCATTTGCACTTAGGGTGTCATCCAAACCAGGCAAAAAGTTTTGAATGCTGTATCTGGGCTAATATCTTCCCATCAGTCCGCAATTGTTGCTTATTGGAGCTCTCTAAGCAATCGATTAGAGTAAACTCCGACTCCCAAAATAAGGATTCCAGCAACTGACAAAAATTGTGTATTTACGTTACAAATACATTATACATAAAAAATTAAATAAAGTAAGGCACTATTGGGATAGAAATTTGCGAACATCCTGCGGCAGACGCAAACCAATCTGGTCAAAGTAGTGGAAGAACCTGAATAGTGAAGAAATGGGCTCAATAAAGCCGTAAATAATTAATGAATACCGAAATGGTCAAATTTAATTACAGTGTCATAGTGATAACATAAGAGCAACCTAAGAATAAATTGTTATTGAAAGTCGCTAACCGTCTCCTGGTAGCTGAGCTCTTTCGACGCGACTCCGCTCTGCCGATGCTCCTCAAGGCTGGTAGAAAATCCAGTGCGGATTCCCTCTGGAAAAAGCAGTCTCCTGACTTCCTTTCCTCGTTGAAGGCTCTTAAGCTAGCCAGAGTGCCGACAGCCTTGTCGAAAACTACAGAACTGAAAAAAAGACGTATATAAGTGGGAAGGATTCGTGTTTTTACTACGGTGTTATTTAAGTGGCAACTCACGAAAAATAATCCTTAGCTGAGCGTTCGTCTATATAGCTGCCGAAGGAGAGACTTTCGGAATCCACAGGAAGAGAAAGTAGCCGCTCCTCCAAACGTGTGAGGTTATGCAAAGTGGTTAAATGTAGGAGTCGACGCCATTCTTCCTCGCAAGCGAAGGTGCCACTGATGCCCACTGGATCGATGCCAGAAAGGGGCGCAGAACAGACATCCCCGAAGACGGTCATCAGATTTGAAGACGATGTAATATCCAAAGGCAGGGATTCTATCCCTCGGGAGATTTCATTTCGACCGCTAACTGCTGAACACATGTCCAAAAGAGCCTGCGATTCAGTTGCACGAAAGAGTTCTGAGAGCACGTCGGCTGACAGCTTCTTGCATTGAGGTAACGGAAGTTTTACGACATTCGACGTTTTCTAATGGTAGAAAAGGACACGACAAATAATACGTTTTAACGGTTCTTTAAATAAGTCGCGTTCGCATAAAAATGACATATCTACAAATCCACGTGACGGATGGGACACCGTAACATTTACCTTCTTAATACTTATACGCTACGATTACGGTTGACACTTTAAATTTCGAACGTTTATGCAATACTCAAAGTCAAGTTTTTGTCTTTGTCACAAAGGAAATGTGACAGGACAAACAGACACATTCTAACCTTGACTTCATCATAGCTTGATGGTGATGTTAGGCTGCCAATGACTAAACCAATTCGTGAATCTGATACAAAGAGCAAAAACTTCAATCAAGACGACTTGGTCAGTTAAGGTATTGCTAGTTTCATGCACAGCGACTACGTAAAAGTCCGAAAAATAGAAACAAATTACCAACTGTTTTTCATGTTCTTCAGACACCAAAGGTTTTTCTTCGACATCAGAGGCAAAAACATCCACAAATTCATTGCCAGTTGATTTTGCAGGACCTTGAGAGGAAATCCGAGGAATAGCGAAGGAAAGACTGAAAAGACGATGGAATGTGCTGTTGCAGGCATTCATGAGATCGTAACCACTTGTTCTAGTACTCTCCTAATGTGAAAGAGGTCAATAAAACATAAATCAATCTATTTAGTCACAATGGATGATGTTTTTTGGAAAATTAACTTGCCCCATCGAGATGTTGATTCCCAGACCCTGTAATCCATTGCAAGCGCACAATCGACTGCCGAATGTTCGAGAATTCTCGACTGTTAACTACTTCTTTGGCAGTGGAGGAGATACAATCAGGCATATCAAAGTTACAGTCCTCGTCATCACGACGAGTTAAAGCTAGCATTAGCGAATCAGTTAGAATGAGACCTCGAGAATCACAAATGCGTTGCAGAATGGGCTTTGCTAGGGCCTAGAGGAATGGCAAAAATGGCATGCTGGACTACTGTGTAGAAAGGGAAAATGCATTCCAGAAATAAGCCTACCGACGACGCGAGAGGCAGAAGTTTGCAAGTTTGGTAGGGAACCGGAATTTTACGAAGAACAGAGGGATCGGAAGCGGTGAAGAAGATCGGTCGACGACCCATTTGAAGGAGTTTGCCCACCGCATGCCAGAATCCTCGGTCAGCGTCGAAGAGCACGTCAACATCGTCGAAAAGAATCAACGATTTGTTGATAAGTTTTAGTCCTTCTACACCCAGGTGGAAGAGTGAATTAGTGATTAAGACTTCAAGGCAAGCGTTTCGAGAGTTCGACAAAGACTCACCAGACGCACCGCGCTCCAAGGAATCTAATTGAGAGGTATTTCGTGAAGATGGTCGCTTATTGGGTAGGGAATAGGGGTCAAGTGTCGATTTTCGTGACTGAAACATAGCCTTGTCGGAACTCAAAATCGAGACTGTAAATAGAATAAAGGGTGAAAAAGGTGCCAAACAAGGCGAGTCCATAACTGGAGTCATCAACACACACCTTTTGATAAGTCAGAGGCACTAGAGGACGCGGATAAGGCTTCCGTGGAAACGTGCTGAGATACCATAACAGGTGAGCATTGGGATGTCACTTCTCTTCCAGAACGACAAGACGACGGATTTACTTCAAACACCTGCGGGATTAAAAACAAAGTCCGACACATGAGAAGATCCAAAAAGCCAAGATAGAAATTGAGTGAGGTACCTTGTATCCATATTGCGTAGCAAGTGCATAGACAAGGGAAGTTTTGCCGCAACCTGTGGGTCCAAAAATGAGGTACGCTGAACAACGCAAGGAGTTTAAAGGTTCCAACAAAGATGAACCATAACTATTAACTCTATCGAAAAAGTTCTAGTGATCGATTCATTTGTACCTCAACCGTTTACCAGCCGAAGGATGCGATGAATCTATAGACGCCATTACTAATAAGGAAAATTACTTTTGGCGCGAGCAGTCCGGGAATCAGTATCCCAGAGCCTCATCCATTCAAGCAAGGGAACTATTTCACTAGAATGTAAGACCATTTCCGACAAAGATGCCGGCGAATATTCATCTGTCCACATTTTTGGTTCAGTCGTGGCATTATCTTAAAGCATCGATTAATTCAAGACAGCCAATAACATACGACAAGGTTCCATCATAACTACATCAATTTTATTTTTGGGTACTTTACTGTTCGCAACGGGTGGCCTAGAGGAGCTTCTGAGAGAATCTTTTCGGGAAGGCTTGGCAATGCGTGACGCCCAACACGATTCGATTATTTTTCTCGACATTCGAGACGATCCGCTAGTGGGCTTTATAGATGTTGCAGAAGTATTTGAGAATATCGACGGAACGACAGAACGCCAGACTCCATTAGTAACGTTCAGAATAGGAGTTCCTGTAGAGGAGGGGTTCCTCGGCGACCTAATCTCCGCGCCAACCGAACCATTTACATGATTTTCTTCTTTAAAACAAGTTTTCCTCCTCTTTGATTCACGTAAACCAGAAGCATTCAGTCTCGATTTGTCATCCCGTAGAGACAAACGCCTGCGTTTATTGGTATCTATTTGCGATCTTATTATGCCAAAAGCTAGTAGATCCTCGCCTTTTCAAAGTTAATAGTTACAATAAATTCATACGATGCAAGGAAACACGTTTGGAGCCACTCGCGTCATACATCCGAACTAAACGAGGCCTAAGCGAGAATTGATTAGCGCGGCAGAGCTGAAACATGTGGATTCAATATAACATAACAAGTTACCAAAATTAAGTATTACAAACTCTTGATGGTAACACAACCGTTAAACTGCCATGTACTTTAAGCATTTTCTAAAGCACACGCGCAAACAGAATTTCCTGCACATGCATTCCACTTATTGTTTTCGTCATAACCTGGTAAGTATGAAATAGGCCAAGAAATGCTGTATAGCGCAGCCATGGGCGAAATTAATATTTCTTACTTTGGAAGTACATTACTCGTCTTATTATAGGATTTTAGTTTATGGTGCAGAAATTAGTAGCACTCTAACGTTGAGACTATAACGGCGCAAGTTAACACGACAAAGTACTCTGAAGGTGAATATGACACTAACGTAGAGAAAAGTCAAGATCCTAATGAAATAATCCTTGTGCCGTGTCGCGGAGTAGAAGCACAACTTTCTGGGGCTCAAAAGCTCTCCATGTTGGGCGTACGTTTATCAATATATCAATTCCCAACAAGGTAAAGTGATGTGCCTTTCATTTTTGTAATTCAAAGCATTAAAATCCCGCAGTAATCTTTTGGATTATAAAGCTTCTAAATAACTAGTCATCACTCAAAGCCCAAACTGCTGGACCAGTTACGTGGTTGTGTGAATAGTCGAAACGACGTATTGATCACGTCTTCCCAAGAGTGAAATCTAGTTCCACATAATTTGGTGAGGACCAGTTTACAAAAAAAATTAATATAGATTACTAAACCAACCTATTTTTGCAGTTGAAACAAGGTAGATTCTGTTGGAAACAGAGGAATAATGTGGCGTCCTAAGACTTCCTTGAGGATGAAAGAAGACATAACACTCGGGCAGAATGTATATATTCGGCACAGAGAAGGTGTTTGGGCTACTGGCAAGACCCGAAGGCCAGTCCACACGGCGTAGTACAAAGGCCAAGTCAAGAGCGGCTCCTCACCAAAACCGAGAGATAAACAACCATCGTATTACGCTAAAGTACCCAAACAGCAGTCTGAACAAACTCCTTCTTCCCTTCTTAAAGATGGCTTTGATTCCTAGCAAGTGAAATCGTTCCATAGCCTTTAAAACTTGAAAAAAATTATTGAAATATAATAATTCGGTAGCTCTTTTAAATTCGCTTTTGATTCTCGTCAGTGTCCCCCATCCCCCTTGCATGTCGGCGGTACACTTTCTGTCCTAGTTTTACGCGTCCTTTCGACTTGGGGTGCCAAATCGGTGATAATGGATAGCGAATCGGATGCTCGAGGACAACTACCCTAATTTCCAGTTCTGAATGTTGAACCTTAACGTCACAATAAGGGGCATATGTTGCGGTTGGGCGGATACGTCGCAACTAAATCCCGCGTTCTGCAAGAATGCCAATCACACGTGAGCCATCTGGAAAAGATCATTACATATCTGTCTACGGTACCTGTTCAAAGAGGTCAAATAAGTGAACAAGCGATACTTCTTCATCTTTATGCTAGCTGAATAGAAACATGATAGATATGACTGGCCAGTACAGAGGTGGGAAGAGAGTAGCAAGGAGGAACAGACGTGAAACATCATTCCCAAGAAAATAAACACCGTCCTTAATCAAATGACCCTGCTTTAAGGTCAGCGCTCTTCCATCCATCGATGGGTACATGTGACGGCCAGCACATTTCCCCTTCTCCCAATACAGTTTTCAAACACGACAAAACTCCAGATAGAAGAATAGTGTCAAGAGGGATTAGTGACTATGGGATAGCTGGCATGTTTGGTTCATGGGTGTTTCCCTACAGCGCCGACTATGTTGCGGTGGCCGACGGGGGTAGTTAATTAATTGAAGCGTCAGGAATGACTATCAAAAGGAAAGGGTGCCATTTAATATCTTGGGGGTTTGTTTAGCTCCTCATTTTGGTTTCACAGACACCGAAAGCACGGCTTTTGTAATCCCCACGGGCAACATGACCCTCGGGCCATGCCAGTAGTCCCTCAGCCCTTCTTTCTGCACGTCGGCAATATTTTTTCCGTCCTGGTGTTATGACTACTGTCGACATCATGAAAAACTCTGGACGCCACAGAAATTCTTAAAACAGAGATCAATTTAACGCCACACGCCAATTGTGGCAAAATAATAGTTAATGTGGGGAGAATTATAGGCATTACATTGTGAAATCAGGTATAGCAAAGGCAAGGGAAAGCATAAAGCTTATTATGTGTACTAATTAATATACATTCGTTTAAGGGTACAGCCTAAACAAAAGATTACATTATTAATTCAAAATGACAAATTTTAGCAGAGCTCTCTACAACTTGTAAATACTTGGAGAGAATATAAAGATAGTTGTCACGATTTTGTTTTGTTCACAAATTGCAAAAAGGTTTACGGCAGGAGCACAAAAAATGGGAATCATAAAAAGGTGGACTGCAGCCAAGGCAATAATTGATAGCTCACTAAGAGGATAAGCTCTCAGGTCAGATGCTCTAATTGTTCCCAATGTTCTCATTCATCATCAGTAATGTTAGATCAAACTTTGTAGTCATCGAACACATGTAAATATGTAGGAAAAAAAATTTGAACTGCCCCCTCTCTTGTGTTTCAATATGCCTGAAGCATCCGATTAATGGTGATGAATTGTCTAATCTTTGGATGAAAGTTAAACAGCGTCAATGGATTGCGACCTCCAGACACAGAGATTTGAGGGAAAAGTGTTTCCGCACTAGAACTAGATTATTTTCTCGTGTAGTAGTAAGAGTACTCAAGCTTCATGAGAAAGGAACGTGGGATTCTCATTAAAATGTAGCACTGGACCAAACTTTAATAATTGGAACAATTCGGTTTCATCAAATTTTACATCAGGTAAGTATTGTGACCAAAAGTTGCCTCAGTTAGTTGTAACCCAGTATAAACTCAGAATGCAGCTGGGTGCATGGGGCAATTACATGGCTAGTTAACGAGCCATTTGTCCAACTTGACCAGCATGTTTTAACATCAAACAGTAAAATTGCAGAAACGTATAAAGAAATCGCTTTTTGTGATGCATTGATGCCCATTAAGATCTGTCATTTATTTTGCACCCTAACAGAATTTTAGCGCTTGGAAATGTTATGTCAAATAGACCTTTGAAGCACAACTTCACTCAAGTGGTCACCTGGTGCATAAATGAATGTTCTGTTGATGAGTCTACAAATATCAGACTCATCAATGTCTAATACAAGGCGCAAAACGCCTCGTAAATGTCAAGGTGACTATTTACAAGTCATTTGTCGTACAGCATTCGCATCCCCATCGGCGAAAGTCACCAATATTACATCAGAGTGGCATGCGCATAGTAATAACAAGCATATCACGCTTGACAGCATAGCATGACATGTAGAATTTACATCGGTACCAAGTAAACGGCAAAATTATGGCTACATATGATGTGGTAGGGAAGTGACCCAGTGAGTGAATCAAATGGCATAGGAGCGAGTAAGTCTGTTTATCCTTCCCACCACTTAATTTGTTGAAAACGGTCCACATGCATAAAATCTAGCTCCATTTTAAGACGCCTCCTTGTCACTTAAGACAATCCACTAGAGGGTATTACTGGCGCTGCCTGAAATTGCATACATCTAGATCCTGTCTGTTTATTAAGGCGCAAAGCCAGAGGTTTCCCTTCGAGACTGGAACTCGTGTGCCATTAAATCAGCAAAGCTTGCATTACGTAAATGGAACGGATAGTGTCCTTATTTCTCTGAAGAACGCGACGATCTACGAGCAACAAGAAAGCCAGACATTAACTACATTTTTCGTGAATATAACAGAAATCTTAAGCCAATAAGCATAGGGGAAAAACAAGACATTTTAAAGATCGTTGATTGGTTTATGCTTAAAAGCATTTTTCAAAATCACAAAGAATTCTACGGCAAGCTTGAACATCATATTTAGCAAAGTGCGACTGTTTCATGTGCGATAAGAAGATTGCCATAACAGAAGGAAGCTCTAAAGGACTATCGATCATTTCCCAAATAGGAAGTTAGCAACGCTTCGACTGCACCCGCTAGCAGAATATAATGTCACAAAATCCACCACTAACTACTAAAATCTTAGTAAAATATATGCAGTGCTTAAAATCATCCCTCTTACAAAATAGCTAGACCATTCTAGTAAAGTTTGGAAGCACAGTTGATAATAGCCTACCCTACGACGTTAGTGTTATCCGAAATTCCGAATCCCTGCTGTAAAAAGTTTCCCTCCCCATGTGATGGAAAATGTAAGCTCGCAGCATCAAAAAAACGGGATGTATTGCGTAAAAACTCATGAAAAGAGACATCTCCCCCTTCAACTTCAGCTCCACGATCCAAAGTTCAAAACTCTTGAATGCCTTTATGGATAGGCAGTTGGAAGCTTGCGTGTTGCGAAAAATGAAAATGAATAAGGAAGATGCATAAAGATCTTAATTTATTCCAAATGAAGTCTTTACAATACTTCAATGAGATTTTATCAAAAGAACGGTTCATTGGTATAAAACACCACAATGTCACTTATATACAAAGGGTAAAGGTCGACATAAGTCATAAAAGGCTGACAGTTAAAAAAATATCGATATCCAAAAAAATGTGTACTTAAGAAATACGCCATCACTCCTTTATCTATTTCCATTTGATAATGCAGTAGATGAAGAAGAGTCCGAGCGAGTGAGATCAATTTCAACCGACCCTCCATCTCTGTCAGTTGGTAGGGCCGATGTGTCGGTGGAAAAAGACTGTTGATACCTACTTTCCCCACTCATTGTTGGAGATGCTACTTCTAGCGTTTTTAAGGACATCGGTGATGCTTTTGCGAAATCTGCCAAATTATCTGCGCTCACTGAAGCAGACTCCTCCGTGTCATAGGAAACATCCGCTGTTGAAGACCTTAGCGATTGCACCTTTATAACGAATGAATCCAGCGTAGAGACTTTTCCATCAACGTGAGACTTCTGTTTTTTGGGCTTTAGAATGCTGGAACCATCCGCAGTTGCTTTATTCTTTTGCATGGTTTGACGCTTCGTTCCAGTGGTAGAATGGGGGGATACTCTAGCGTCACTAAATGCTTCTTTGTTCTCCTTCAAATAAGCAATAAATTCCGCAAAATCCATCGTACGAACAGCGGAAACCACCTTTGAGTCGTTACCAGATGCCATAACGCCAGAGAACACGCGTACGCCAAAGGCAGGCCAGACGAAACGCGCGGGATAACTTTAAAGATCCTAATCAACACATCCAAACAAATATGGCTCATTCTAAATACCTAAAAAAATGTCTGCTTTAGCGTATAGCAAACTTGTTTTTTAATTTTGCATAAAAAAGCATTGTTTGCGTCCAAACTTCCCGCTGTTCTAAAATGTTGCCCCAGCTTATATGTACTTAAATAGTATTTTGTGACCTTCCTTTCTAATAGCGTATGTACCTTTGTCAAATCTTTTTCAAGCATTTAACGCTATTTATTTGCATAAAGCGAGCAGTAAAGAAAAGTAAGGTAGCTCGCCAAAAGCCAGTTGGACTACTTGCAATTTTTCTAATTTATTTTAAACCGAATTAAAGGATTAGGAAACAATGTTATGTAATACGATAGTGGTTTATCCCTCGGTTCTGGTGAGGCGCCACTTCTGTGCTTCGAATTAGCCCCCTTGTACCTCGCTGGGTGGGCTGGCCTTTTGGGCCATGCCAATAGCCCAGACACCTTCTCCGTGCTGAATATATATTCTGCCCGAGTATTGTGTCTTCTTTCGTCTTCAGGGAATGCCGGGACGCTACACTGGTGGCAGCGGAAAGCGAACCCGATCTTGAAAGACATGTATCCTGATTTTCCACTTCTGCGTGATAAGCCTTAGTAGAGCGGAAGAAGTACACATGCTACGGATGGGAG